TGTACTTCTTCCACGACAGATCTGTTTTCCTTTGGCAGTTCAGGGTGCTTTCAGTATTCTTTGCCAGCACCGTAATTCAAACATAATGATTCTTAGCTATATTACCTGTAAGTTATCGGCATGATATCAGACTGATAGATCCATCTGTATAACTTTTGGTGTGTATCTATACACCTATGGACCATATATAGAAATGTACAGAGAGAGAATAAGACTCTGAAATCTTGACCAGAAAATGGAAGTAGAAGATAGTGGATTGCCCCACAAACTCTTTGCAGCCCTCCTCTTGGTTGTGTGTGTGTGAGCGTACATATGTATGCACGTGTGTGCATATGTATGTATGCACACGTGTGTGCATATGTATGTATGCGTGTGTGCATATGTATGTATGCACGTGTGTGCATGTGTATGTATGCACCTGTGTGCATGTGTATGTATGCATGCGTGTGTGCATGTGCATGTATGCACGCATGTGTGTGCATAGATGGCTCACAGCTGCCGTTGAGCCAGCTCCGGCCTTGTGACGGTAGTGTGCTCGGTGGGATCCGACCACTGGGAACTATGCACCAGGCTTCTCCACAGCGGGCTTTTTCGGAAGGGGATCATCACCAGGCCTTTCTCCCTAGTCTGTCTTAATTTGGAAACCCTGGAAGAAACCCTGTTTCTGCCTCTCAGCCACACACCAGCCCTGCCTCCACCTGCAGAAGGGAGATGGTGGCACTGAGCAGTCTGCATCTGCCCAGGCTCAAGCACAGGTCTCCGGTATGAACTCTAGCACCGAGCCCCCGCTGTTCAGCAGTGCCTTGGACCAGTGGCCCCATCGCTTCATGGGACCCCATGAGACACGTGTGCTGTACTAGGGCTGAGAGTGGATAGATGGGGTCGAGTCAGGGCAGATACGGTGCGGGCTGTCCCGGGGGAGGGGAGATAAGGGGGACGCGGCAGAATGGAAACAGAAGATGAGAAGGATGGGTCATGGGTTTAGTCTTTCAGAGCGTGCTGAGCTGAGTGGTGACGACTGAGACTCAATCCTTCTCAGAACAGCACCAGTGTATCCCACAGCCCGGCGCCCAGAGCCTCGAAGCCCCCAGTCACCCAGCCCTCTTGGCACCAGGTTGGATGGGACAGGATGGGGACCTCACAGGAGGTTCCACTCGGCCAGCCAACCAGTGTACCTGGGGGAACAACGAGGGCCCCCGTAACCCCCTCAGGACTCGGAGCTGGTCAAGGAGGAGAAGACAGCACGGTGAAAGTGGGGCAGAGACAGGGGCAAACGAGGCTCCAGCCCCAGCCCTGTGTTCTCTGCATGGCCAACCCTCCCCGAATTGAAGCATTTGCTCCGTGGAAAGGAGAGGTCTCAGCTGTCAGGCGGACAGACTGAGGCCCGGGAATTCCAACAGAGGATGATAAGAGGACCCTGACCTTCAGCCGATAGGAAGGGGGCCAGTGGAAGGCAGCTGGAATTTCCCTCCTTGCTGATAACCTTTCCAAGCCGAGCAACTGCTCAGGACTTGGGGACAGGGGAGGGAGAGTGGGGGTGGGGCTTGGAGGCGCAGTCCTGGCAATGCAGACCTGATCGTCTGCCTGGCGTGGGGGCAGGGGCCTCCGAGGAGCTGGTCCTGGGCGTGGAAGGAAGGCTTTCAGAGGAGGGTGTGAAATGGTCGGCGTGCAAGACTGCAATCGGGCTGCCTCGCTGCCCACCTCTCTCACTCGCTCACTCAGCAAGCACCCAGCGAGCACGGAGGGGCCCTAAGAATAAACCCCGTAGCTCCTTTGGGTTGGCTACAAGCTGCTAGCCTCAAGGTCCACAGTTCCAATCCCCCAGCCGCTCCCCGGAGAAAGGTAGGCTCTCTGCTTTCAGAAACCCTGTGAAGCAGTGTTCGTCTGTCCCTGGGGTCACTATGAGCAGGGTGGACAGGGCGTCAGTGGTTTGTCTTGTAGAGATGGACCATCTACAGGAGAAATCGGCACGTGAATTGTTTCCCCAACATGCACAAATGTGCTCCCGGCCTTGGCGAAGGGTGAAGCTTATAAAATATCAGGGAAGAGGCCCTTACGGGAAATAATAATAATACAAGGGCTTGTGGCACAGACAGAAGGGGGCTGAAGGAGAGACAACCCCCTATTTAAGCAATGGGTTAAGTCGGTGGTTCGAACTCACCAGCTGTTACTCAGGAGAATGAGAGCACGTTCATGCTCCGTGGGCCGTGTGAGGACAAGACCCAGGCCTTCCCTCCTGTCAGCTTGGGGAGGAGATCCGGCTGGAGCCAGGACATTCTTCATTAAAGAATGTTATTCTGGTGATAACCATTCCCGCCGGGCTCAAAGACCTCGGAGATAATCGCGTCAAAAGAGAGTGGCCCCTAGATGCTCAGAGTCCAGCGAGAGCCCTTAGTTTCAGTCCTTTCCAATGGGTTTCCACTCCAGGCAGGGCCTTCTGATACGCATGTGGACATTGACAGAGGCCCCGGGATCATCATGTGCCGCCTCCTCCCAGGGCCCTGGGATGGAATACAGAGCCCATATCAGGCTGGATGAGGGCTTCTGCATAGGACAGGTACTCCGTAAAAGGTGCCTGGGTAAGGTAATAAAAATACAAATGAACACACTGTCAATTCCGATTCTTAGTGACCCTATGGGGTGGGTAGAACTTCCCCTGTGGGTTTCGGAGACTGTAACTCTTTACAGGCATAAAAAGCCTCATCTTTCTCTCTTGGATCACCTGGTGGTTTAGAACTGCTGACCTCGCAGGTATTAACTTAGGGAGCAACCTACTGTGCCACCAGGACTCCTTAGGCAATTTCACCCGCCGTGTTGGTTAGCTGGCATTGCAGATGGGGAGTAGAGAGCCTCGTCTTTCCCCAGCGGAGTGGTTGGGCATTCCCAAGGGCTCACCTTTAGGTGCCAGCCCAACCTGGTGATGACCTCATCAGGGCTCTGTAAGGTAACATGATTGAGCCTATTGGCGTGTGGCTTCCGAATTGGCCCACTCACTAAGCGTTCTGTAAAGCCCCCATCCCCTGGGTCCCTGACGTGGCAGAGAGCAATCTGGGCTCCCAGCTGCAGTTTCAAGACCAGGGTCGTTCACCTTGTCTCTTCACTGGCAACCTTCTCACTCTCGCTCGTTGTGTTGGCGATTTTGCCGTCGTAGCGGGCCAGGGCGCCTTGCCGAGTCCCGCCGGGCGCTCCCGGCAGCAAGGAGGTTCTGACAATCCACGGCAGGAGCAGCTTGGCCCCTCCTACCTCCGTGTCAGCACTGACGGCTGAGCGCCCGTACCCAGGCTCGTAGCCAACTTGGGGTCCATGCACAGACACTCAGAGAAGGGGGCCACGTGGTCATCAGTCGGTAGAGAGGCGACCAAAGGGCCACACCTCCTAACCCACGTTTCCCCCTCGGGGCTAGTGCTTCCACATCCCATCACTCTGCTTGCAAAGCAATGGAATTCTCAGAGTGTGCTGTGGGCATCCAGGGCCATAGAATTTTGCTGGGCGCTGCGCCCATGAACCCCAGGAGCGGGCACTGCCAGCAGGACACCGGATGTGAATGTGGACTAGAAGCAGCCTTGGTGGCTCAGCGGGTTAGACATTGGACTGCTAACCCCAAGGTCGGCAGTTTGAAACCGCTGGCTCCTCTGAGGGAGGAAGAGGAGGCTTTCAGCTCCCAGAAGGCGGTGCAGTCTCGCAGACCCACAGGGGCCGTTCCGCCCTGTCCTACAGGGTGCTGTGAGTGGGAATGCACGCAGTCGGTGGCACTGAACTTGGTTTGTGGACACAGGAGGTGGCAGAGCAAACCATGAGCTCAGCTGCTGGCTGAAAGGCTGGAG